TTTTCACCTTCAAACTATTATTTTTTGGACTTAGTTTTTTATTCTAAAAACTGAAGTTTGCCGTAATCTCCGAAGAAGATCGCACTCATTTACCAAACCATATAGCAAACTAAAATTTAACTCGCAAAATTTTGCCAGTTAACTTTGTCAGCAAAATTGTCCATTTCAAAATTTAGTTTAACAAACAACGTGTAAACAACAATTATATTTTAAATATGCGCTCTCCTTTTCGCAATGTTTATTTTTTTTTGGATAAATAAGGAACTACGTTTATCATTAACTGCGTGCTTTATATATATATATATATATATATATATATATATATATATATATATATATATATATATATATATATATATATATATAATATATATATATATATATATATATATATATATATATATATATATATATATATATATATATATATGTATATATATGTATATATATGTATATATATATATATATATATATATATATATATATATATATATATATATATACATATATATACATATTATATATATATATATATATATATATATATACATATATATACATATTATATATATATATATATATATATATATATATATATATTATATATATATATATATATATATATCTATATATATATATATATATATATATATACTATATACTATAGTGCTATTATACACAGATTTGTAATACCAAAACTAAATATACATCAGATCATTACTTTAGTTGAAAAGAGTTTGGAGTAAAATGTAAAACTTTAAACTTTTTGAACACTCATGTTTATATTTACTTCATAAAACAACAAGTCCAAGTCATAGTTATCTAACTAAGCACAATTAAATACTAGTTTGCAACTAATTCTTTTCAATGAGGTTTACCATATCTTTTTTACTAGAATTATTTGACATAAGTTCTCTGCTAGCTATTTGACCTTGAATGTAAGTATTTCTTCTGGCCTCTCCAAAGACATGACAAGCACTTTCAGTTGTCATTTTTACACATCTTTTAACAGATTGTGTATGAGAGGGCCACTTTTTTACTTTCATTGGAGTGTTAATAAATTCCTTCACTGCTTCAGTTGATAGATTACATGTTAAAGGTGGTTCAGTAATATCACTCCAGTCTATAAGTTCAGACAAACAAGTTGCTTTCATGATGATAGAAGGAGTCTTTCGAATCCTGAAAGATCTCCAAATTGAAGTGCATCATTCCCAGCTCCTCTTAATTCAACTATTTTATTTACTGCTTCTTTTCTCTCATCTTCAATTTGACTACAGAGCATACTTTGCAAAACTGATTCAGGGTGAGCATACCATGCTGATCGTTTGAAAGTGGGTAAAACAATGTCAATTACCTCCTGAGTTTGATTTTTTAATAATTGCATCTGTTTAAGTAAGTTTATTGGTCCTTCCACCCAGCATGAATTTACTTTGATGTTAAACCAGTTAGGAACATACACACCTACTATGTACTCAACAATCATTCTCAACCTATTTAAAAGGTCACCTGTTAATCCATGTTTTGACACCCAGATTCTGCAAAATCTTAAAGCAGTAGTTACCCATCTACTATGACAAACAGGACCAATTTCTAGTAATGCCAGTCTCTTAGACAGAACTCCAGTTTTAAGAGATGTCACAATTTGGTATGCATAGCTCTGATCGGTGCTTAGATCTTTGATAATGTCAGGACTGAGGTAGATAAGTGGAGAGCCTTCACACACTTTTGAAAATTCTGGGTTAATTTCAAGGTTGGTAGCATCGTTCAACATCTTACCGAGAGGTCCTGACCAATGATTGCTGGCTTTAGTAGGACCATCAAGAAACTTAATAAGACTTCTTAACCCTAGTTCCCCAGTGTGCAGGTCACATACAATCCATACAAGTTTTTTATTAAGTTTTTTTTCAACCCATTGTATTACTCCTCCTGCCCATCCAGTATTTACATTAGTACTATCACAACCTATGGCTTCCAATGTCAAATGTAAACATCTTTCTTTAAGCCATTCAATTAAATGATCGGCAATTATCTCAGCAGGTATTTTAAAATCAGATTCTTCAGGAACAAAATAGAATAGATAATTTCCACCAGGTTCACTGCACACAGTATAATGTTCTTCTTTTATTAGACCTGGGAATTTTCTGCCTTCAACATCAAAAAAAATTTTAGTGTCATCTTTTCTACCATCAAAAAAAATACAACTCAAACCATTATTGTTTAGTTCCTTATGGAATTTTGAGGTCAGTTCTTTTCCAATTTTTTCTTGAGCTCGTTTAACTTTGTTATGGTCGATAATTAAGCAAGTGTTTCCTTCAGTGATAATTTTAGCATCAATAAGGGCAGCAGTTGCTATTTCCGCAGTTTCTCTTAAACCTGCATGATGCCTTAAGCTTGCTAATGCTATATTTTTTATATTCATGGTGTTATACAATTAATTTTTTTCTTTTACTTTTTTTGAAATATTCATTTTTATTTTATCATTTGTCTCTTCACAGACTTCATCTGAGTCACTCTCGGGAAAGAAAAAATCATTTTCTTGATTTACAATCTCCTGAACTAGTTTTGATTTTTTTATTTGTGAAACCTGATTTTGTATTGTATGTCGTTTAATTTTTTTACTTTGTTTCTGAGTTTCAATACGATCAATGCCAGCTATTTGAAGGATAGCTTTGGTTCCAACTTTTTCTCTTTGATGTCTTACAAAGTTCAACTCAAGAAGAGGAATTTTTAGTTCTTTTTTTCAAGTACATACAATGTGAGCTTTTCTGTCACAATTTTCTCCACACTTATTTTCTAAGCAAAAAAATATATTTTACAATTGCATGTAAACAAATCAAAAAGTTTATCAAGTTTTTCCATAAATTTATTTCTAATTGGTGTGGCTACATTGCCATTACTAACTTTAATGGCCAATAACCACAAGTCTTTTACTTTACTTTTAATTCTTCTTTCAGAATTAATAACTGGATTTACAAATTGAGAATTGGCTTTTTTCCACTGTAACAAAATTTTTGGAAGAATATCCTATATAAGCTGATCAACAGTATAGTTTCTGTAATCTTTTTCACTAATCTCTCTTAAATATAAGCCATATTTGAGAATATCTCTGGAAGTTGGGAGTTCTGATGGAAGAAACTCTGAACTTTTTCCAATTAAGTTACTAAGCTGACAAGCTGATTTACTTCTTGTTTTAGTGGTATACGACATCTTTATATCAATTTAAAAAAAAAAGGATTCCAAAAATTGTTTATGCTCTTTATTTTATTTTACTTCAACGACTAATATAAGAATAAGTCAGATGCGTATTACTAATATAGTATATATATATATTATATATATATATATATATATATATATATATATATATATATATATATATATATATATATATATATATATATATATATATATATACATCCATGCATACATTTATATAGATAAGGTTTTTGAAAGGCATTAGAATTTAATAACAAAGCATTATAAATTGTAGATTCTTCAACTTGTAAAACAAACGGTTAATAATAAAAAATTTTTATTATTAACCGTTAAATTACATCCAAAAAAGTGTAAACACTGCAAAAAGGAGAGTGTATTTTTAAAATATAATTGTTGTTTACACGTTGTTTATTAAACTAAATTTTGAAATGGAGTATTTTTCGGACAGAGTTAAATTTTAGAGTTAAATTTTAGAATAAAAAACTTAAAGTCCAAAAAAATTAAAGTTTGAGAGTGATAAAAAGTAGCTTAAAATACTTTTTTTTTCAAAAAAATATTTTTTTCATGTTTTGCATAAGGATTTACAAAAAAAAAAATACTAGCCATCATCAAATTTTGAAAAAAAGTGAAAATCGACACACCCTGTTGTACATATATACCTTGTTATTAATATATATATATTTTTAACGATGTGTATTAAAAGTTAAGCTACATTTTTTTTTAACTTTTTTTATTAATATTTTAAAAAATTTTTTATTGCGAAAAAGGTGCAATAGCAATTCTATCGTCATTTTTAGATTCACCTTTTTCGCAATTGTATCTTTTTCAATATTTTTGTGTTTTCAATATAGTTGTTTAATTTGATAATTGTAGATTTTAACTTTATTTTCAGAGAGTGTTCGTTGTTTAGGTTTAATAATGATTTGTTTCTGGAAACTAATTTATTAAATAATTAGGGGCCACGATATGTAATTGAGAATTTTGAAAGTCTTGTTGTTTCAAACGGTATTTTAAATTTGCCTGTTGCTTTTGCATTGTATTTATTTATATTGTTTTTAAAAAAGTGTGCTGTAAAGTGTTCTGGAACCAGATTTAGTTTATATTTAAACATGAAAAGTATATTTTGAAAAATATTTATTTGTAGTTTTAAAGTATACTTTAAAACTGCAAACTATCTGACAAAAAAATGAGTTAAATAAACTACTTGAAGGAATTATATTAGACCATCATCATTTTGAACGATAACTAAGGACGATGCTATGTAAATTTTCAAAAATGGATTGCCTAAAAAGTTATCAAAACTGACAAAAAAGGTATGTTAGGTGATTTATTTTTTGGGAGAATGAAAGTAGTGGTATACAATGTGCTGTTTTTTAAAATTTAATAAAAAAAAAATTCCAAAAAAGTCATTATATCATTATTTTTTTATAGGGCTATCACCTTAATAATAAATTAGCTCGAGTTATTAGGCATGCATCGTTAATTTCTATTGTTCGCCTTGCTTTTATTTAATTAAAAAAAAACCTCAAATATATATATTAAAAAAAAAGGATATTGACCTAAATAACCTTCCGCTAGAGCTAGAGACTTTTTTTTTGTTCGTCTTCATGGTTAAAATGATGCAGAATGCAGTATTCCGCCCATTAAAGTTCAATACATGATATTTTTTTGAGACACCCATATTTATGAACTTAATTAAATCCTTTAAGATGCAGTAAATGTTAATTTAAAATAAAAATTTCAAGGTATTCAACTAAGATAGAAGATAGTAAATAGATACTTACGATGCGAATTATAAATATAGCAAGTAAAAAATAATATGAACAAAAAATTGATCTGCAAATATTTATTTTGGTTCATTGCAAAGTTTTACGAAACCTTTATAAACTTTATATATCTTTCTTATGATGTTTCAAAACCTCTAACTTTATGAGTCTCGCAAAATTGATAGTAAAAGTACCTGTTTTGATTTTGAATAGCATTTTCATTATTAATTTTTTTAAATTATTTATATTTTAAAACAATTACTGTTTGTAAATTTTATAAATCTGCTACTTTTAACAATACTTTTTGAATTGGTTATAAATTATAAATAGTTAGCTGTTTTTATGATAAATTTCAGTTACACATTTCAGTCAGATGAGTTTTAGTTTTGATAACCTTTTTTTTTTTTTTTGTTCTTTAGGGAAATTTGTGTTGTGGGATTTGTAGCACTTATTTATTTACAATAATTAAAATCGGTTAGATTTTGGGTGTCATAAGTCATTCAACTCTTGAATAAATGTAATATTTTTTTGTCAATAATAATTGCTTTAATTACCATTGACTCTTAATAGAAAAAATTAATTAGTTTAACAGTTGTTTTTATTAAGGATGTAAAAGGGCAAATTGAAAAAGATAAATACATTGCTTTATCTCACACAAGTGTCTTTATCTAATATGGCATTTAAGAATACCAGTAGGGGAAGTGGGGGCATAACCGCATATGGA